ATGGGGAGAGATGGGGGCTGATGGGGGGTGATGGGGAGCCATGGGGAGCCATGGGGAGCGACGGGGAGCGTCGGGGAGCGATGGGGAGTGACGGGGAGCCATGGACAGCAGCAGACGACGCTTCGCTGGCTCACCCACCGCTCACCTCCTGCTGTGCAGTCCAGTTCCTAACAGGCCATGGACAGTACTGGTCCATTGCCCGGGAGTTGGGCACCCCTCCTGTACACCATCCCTAAGAGCCATTTGAGGGCCCTAACTGTCTACATTCCTCCCTTGGTGATTAGCACTTGCGGTTTTATAAGACTTTTCATCAACATTAAAAGGGAAGAGAGAATGTTCCAAATCCCCATGAAGGAAGGATGGCAGTGAAAGGAAAAGGTGTTCGGTAAAGAACACGGTCCCAGAGCCCCAGCGACTCCAGAATCACTGTCCTTTGCTCGTCCATCCCCACCCTCTGTATCTCAGAAGGGGTTGGAAGGTGCCACATATAGGATATGAAAGAAAAGATACCCAGTGACCAAGAGATTAGAAACAAAACCAAATCTTCTATCGGGATTGATTGCGGAGTAGACGACTCAGAGCTCAGGACCCGTTGTGGTATCTCAATGGGTCGTGCTGCCTCATTGCTGAGGAAAGGAGGGAGAACTTGGATAAGTGTTTTTACCGGGAGCAAATCCCTCAAACCTGAATGAGGAGTTACCTTGGGATGTTCTGGCAGTGAAGGTCTCCCTGGAATCAATGAGGCAGAGGCAGGCCAGGCGGTGGTCCCAGAGAGCATTCCTCCGATTTCTAAGGAGAAAAGACATTTCATCCTTGAAATGTAAATACAGTACTTTTTGCTCTATTCTTTTTAAACACATCTTGGCTCTGAATGTTGAGCTATTGAAAGGAAAACTTGCCTTTGCCAAAATGTCAGAGTCTTACAGCTGAGAATGCATTCAACAAATAACTATTATTTCCTATTTATATAAACTTTTCTTTTTCCGAGTTCCAAAATCTTTGAAAACCTTCAGGAATTAGGCTGAGTCAATCTATTTCAAAAGGGCTGTCAATAGGAATAAGATGTGGTTATTCTCAAATGACACAATTTCATGAAATCCCTTTTAAAAAGACTTGTGTTAATACTTTCGTCCAAATTGAAAAATCTCAAGGAGAAATTCTTTGTAATTTGGTAGTTATAGAGAAAAAGAATGACACTGTGTTTCCAAATTCTAAATGTTTAAAGAATTCCTGTTTCATTTTAGCTGGGAGTCATGAATCTTCTCCCCTCATCCAAGTTCTGCCACCCTCTGGGTGGGTCGCATCTCTTCTCTGAGCTGCAGCTTCTCCAGCTGTAACAGGAGGAAAGTAACCAAACAATTTCCTCTGACACGATTCTGTGAGTTCTTGGCAACCAGTCTGGAGAATCCAAATACATTCTATAACCTTGGAGGTGTATTTAATGTCAGAAATAAACAAAGTCCTTCCCCTTCCAAAATATACACTTTCTTCAAAAAGTAAATCTCTCCTAAGAAAGTATGGAAGACGTTCTTTTTTATAGACCCTTCTAAAGTTATGGCACTAAGTGTTTCCACCTGTGCCCAGCGTGGACTTAGCCACTTAATCAAGTTGTGATGAACTGGCTCAGAGTTACTGGCTCAGAGTTTAGCCTGAGCATATGTTTTAAAGAAACCAAGAGCTGAGCCATGTGGAAAATGGCACAGAATTCCAGTCTCCAGACAGTCTTCAGTCCCAAGACTATTGGGAGTGTATGTTCAGAAGGTCATAAACTTTCAAGGAAAAATATACCATGCCTGTAACAAAAAAGGATTGCCAGCATAAACACTCAGCCTTTCTCAACAAGTCCTGTAGCTTCCATCTCCAAAATATCCCTGGAGTCTGTTGCCTGAGAATCTCTTGATTGTAACCCTGGTTCAAAACTCCCTTTCCCTCTATTTAAATCAATGTCCTTGCTTCCAGTTTCCCCCTTTCTAGATCATCCTCCATGAAGCCAGCATAATATCAGAAATCTGATTATATCACATCTCAGTTTAAAAACCTTCCAAGACCACCCCACAAGACTAAAGCCAAAACTTTCAAGCATGACTTTCAAAGACCTCTGTAATACGATCTCATCTGCTTTGTACTCTAGTCTTGAATCACCAGATTTAGCAAATAAAAATATAGGATGCTCAATGAAATTTGAACACTGGAGAAACAACAAATAATATTTCCAGTATAAGCCTGTCTCATGCAATATTGGGGACATACTCGTGCTAAAAATGTATTCACTGTCTATCTGAAATTCACATCGAATGGGCTGCCTATATTTGAGCTGGCAACACAACTCTAGCTACAGTACTCTAATTCATTATTTCCCAAACCATGAATTTACTGCCCTTGTGCAATTGTTCATGGCATTTTCACTACCTAAAATGTTTTCTTCTTCTCCACCAGAAAACTCCTATTCATCCCTAAAACCCAACACATCTTCTGTGACGTTTCTCTGACTACTAAGAACATAATTAATCACTCCTTCCTCTGCACTCTTTTATTTGTCTTCCCTTCTATACTTACCACAGTGTATTGTCATTACTTATGAGTCACTTTCTTCCACTACTGGGGAGATTCTTAAAGTGAAGGGACAGATTTTGCCCACCTTTGAATCCCAAGCCCAACTCAAGACCAGCACAGGAGAGGTGCTCAGGAAAATGTACTAAATGAACGAAGAATAAACAACTACGTAGACTTTAAACACATTCTCCCACCTCCCATCACAGTGTGATTCTGAAAGGAAAAATATACAATAATTTTGAATTATTTAAATCCTCTTTATCAAGAAATAATAATGAAGGAGGCCCTGGAAAGGGTCCCTAAACCACAAAGTAAACATCTCCCCAGAAGTGAGTACACCCTTCATGCTCCATCCAGCAGAAGGTCCATCACTCTGAAAGTCCCCATGAGCAGATAGGATCACAATATTCCCCGGTTCTCTGCAGATATTAATCACATCAGCCCCTGTCCTAGATGTGAACGTAGGACTGTATTTGTCCTGAGTAATTTGTCTTGACTGCCCAGAGGCCACCCTCATCTGCTAGCCTCTCCGTGGTGGTAATTACTCCTATTTCATTCAGTTTGGGGCTGTTCAAGGTGGCAGGTCCCTCTGCAAGATCACATGACCAGCTCCCAACGAGGAGACTTACTTGACTCATTCACGGTCATCTCCTGGAACAGCTGTGCATTCTGCTTGCTCCCTTCTGCCTGATCTCATCTCCTGACCCGTCTCTCCTCTCCGTGGGGAGTCACACTCACCTCTCAGATTGAATAACACTCGAATAACACTCTTTCCTTGAGCTCCTTAAGGCCGTATACTATCCTATCCACCTGGATGACAGCTCAGGAATGTTCACAGTCTATTTCTGCAAAATGGATGAATGAGTGCATGACCCTTGCTCATTCAAGAACCAGTCATTGAAAATCTAGAGGGACCCTGGCCCTGGGAATATGGTGATGAATATAACATAGTTCCTGGCTGTAAGTAATTTGAAATCTAAGATATTAACACCAATAGACATATAGTCTATTCAAAGAAAAAATTGTGAAATCACAGAAAACATCCAATTGGTGAAATAAAGGGTACTTTTAAATAAATAGCATCTTGACTGTTCAGGCATATTCTTGAAAAATAAGTATGATTTCTGCATCTGACATTTCAGACCCCATGCCACCTCCTCATCCTGATGAGTGTCTCTGTGACCCCTTGCAGGTCAGCAAGAGCAAGGGACAACGAAAGTCAGATCGTCCGGTGAGGAGTAAGAAACACAGACAGAGAATCTGCAATGCAGGGTGTGTTCCACTCTGTTTACAAGGCCAGAAATGTTTATCTAAAATAAGTCAAAAGAAATGATGAGAAATCTTGGTACCCAGAACTTAGAGTACAGAACTGGGAAATCCTCATGTAGGGTATAGCTCATTTCTTGATTATAGTGGCTAAATGAGCCAGGACCAGACTTTATTTGCTTTGCACCCTTGTGTCCTTAATTTTTCAGAGGTTACTAAGCAAAAGCATTGTCCCATATATAAAGAAAATGTCTGCAAGATTTGTTTAACTCTAACGAGTTTCTGAAGCTAAGCATCCCTGTGAGGGCGATGGAAAGAGCCCTGCAGAGCCACGCAACTTCTACATAGCAAATACTATGCCATCCCTCGATCCGTATTATCTCATTCAAATCTTAGAAGCGCCCTGAAAAATCACCATTATTATCCTCTGTATTCAGAGAAAACTACGGTTTAGAGAATTTGAACCTTACCTAAAATCATGTAGCTAACGTGAGTCTTAGTGTAACTTGCACCTGGGTTGTCTCTCCAAAGCCCGTGTCTTTCCCACTCCCCCACGGTAGCTTGCTTAGAGCCCTAAGGATCCATCTCACGATGGATGAAAATTACAGTCGGTCATTCAGTCAACAAGCATTTTACCTGTAGCAAGCACACGATAAGGGCGAAACGCCGAGCGCCACCCAAGAAAGTACAATAAGGTCCTGAATGAGTATTCTAGAATCCTGGGCTTGAGCCTCAACCCTCCACCAATAAGCGACAGGCCTTGGCCAACCCCCTTCACTGGCCAAGTCCCACTTTCCTCATCTGTGTAACAGTGGTGACAGTGGCCTCCCTGCACTCTCAGAGTCTGTGTGACCATTGGATGAACCAATGTGCGAGAAAATGTTTTTATAAAGTGAAAAAATGCTGTAGAAATGTGAAGTACAAACTGTTTTTCTCAACAAGGCTTCCGGTAAACAGAGACTTGGATCATCACTGTAGGTTTTCTAGAGCAGGAAGTGGATGGGAGGGAACGCACAGGCAAGAGGGGCCCTGCGTTGTCAGGGGTCCTCCTCGCCTGCCAGCGTACACAGGAAGCTGAGTCACTGTTGCTCAGCAAGGCCCCTGCGGTCCCGAGGAGAGCAATTGAGCCTTCCTGTGAGAAAGCGGAAACCCCAGTCCTGCTGGCCCCCCGCTCGCTCCTGAGAGAGCCCACCCCTGTGGCTGGCTGAGGTTGGCCTCGGGGCCGTGTGGCTCCCTTCTGCGGCTTGGCTGACAAAAGCAGCCCACGTGGTCCACGCCCTCCCAGCCCACACGCCTCCTATGGTCCATGATGGAGATTCAGAGCGACAGGAACTAGAGCCGCAAAAGTGACTCCTCTTCAGACCTCCCCCACTAATGAATTCTCTCTGCAGAACGTGTGTTGGTCCAGCTCACTGCTCTCGTTTATCTTTAGCTGCTCGACACTGGAAACCTTCAGAACACCACTGATGACAGCGATCTCATAGGAGGCGATGGAGAGGTAACTCGGGGCAGGTGGAGGGGGGCGGGATTCTGGAAGGTCAGTCTTCTGATTACTTTGAAAAGTGATGAATTCCCCCACAGCCTTGAAGGCCAGAGAACTTTCTGGAGAACATGAGCATCCTAGCGCCCCTGCACCAGCAGCCGATGGCTTAAACCCAGAGAGACACACTGCATAGAACAGAGGAATGAGTGTTCCATGACCCGGGCTGTCTTTGTCTCACCACCCCTGTCCTCTGGTTTGAGGATCAACAGGACAGAAAGATTCAGGGGAGGCAGGTGGTCATTTAAGAGGATGGTTTATTTGGATAATGATAGGAATAGGGGTCAAAACCTTCCTAGAGCTGCCCCCAAGCCTTTGGCTGAAGGGAAGTAGGGTAGATGAACATAAAGACTGCGGAGTTCCATGCAACAGGTTTCAGACCCCGACATCACCACTTACTAGCTGTGTGGCCGTGTGCGTGTCAATATGAACTCTCCAGTCTCCATTCTTTGTTCTATTCCAAGGAGATGATCTCCACCCTACCCCAGTGAAGCCCCAACAGTGAGGCTGTCAGAAGACCAGAGATGAGGTAACTATTGTGTTCTCAACTAGAGGAAGCCATATTACTACCTGTACTACTGTTAGGAGCCCACAGAGGCAAAGCTGAAATCAGACCTGGTTTGAACTGATCCAGATGGCTAAAGAGGCTGTCTAGTGCCAAGGCTTGAAGTCAGAGAGTGTCTTCCTCGGGTTTCAGGTGTCGAGTGGAGCCCGGAAGGCAGGAACAGATTCCAGCCCTTTGGACAGATGTTAGGTCCTATTAAATAACAGGCTGGACTCAGAAATTAGAAAGCCAAGTTCCAGTAAGGTTCAGCTGAATATCTGTAGCAGAGCCTCCAAAGGTAGGTCTGACTCTCTGGTTAAAGACTGTCTTCCCATAGGCTTCCTTGTTCTGGTGAGGATCCCACGAAGCCCCCAGCCTCATGCATGTCCTCTGCAGCTCCCTGCTATGCTAACCTTCTTGCTCATCCCCCAAATCCACGAGCTCCCCAGCCTGGTGTTATGAGTTGAATTGTGTCCCCTTAAAATAAGATATGCTGACGTCCAAACCCCCCATACTTCAGAATGTAACTTTGTTTGGAAATAGGGTCTTTGCAGATTTAATCAAGTTAAGATAGGCTCATTAAGCGTAGCTCCTAATCCGAATGACTGGTGTCCTATAATGAGAAATTTGGACGTAGAGACAGACACGCACAGAGGGAAGACGATGTGAAGACACGAGGAGAACAGCACGTGAAGGCAGAGGATTGGAGTGATACACCTACAAGTCCAAGGATGCCAAAGATGGCTGGCAAAGCATCAGACCCTAGGAAGGCGCAAGGATTCCAGAGTCTCAGATGGAGCAGTGTCCTGCCAAATCTTGATAGTGAACTTCTAGCCTTCAGAAATGAGGAAACATAAAGTTCTGTTGTTCTAAGCTACCCAGCTTATGGTACTTTGTTACAGCAACCTAGGAAATTAACACACTTGGGAATTTGATTTATTTTGGTTCAACAAATATTCACTGAGCTCAGTGTCGTGGGTAATAAAACAGACAAATAGAAAATCACAGTCCTTTATGAGGAGTGTGATGATGGTGTACTTTCAGAAGAGACTACAACTACCTGCAGGGGGAAAAGGTCCTATAATTCGTTCCTGTTCACTGATTCAGAGTGGCATTCCACCATTGCTGAGGTTGGCCTGAACTGTCTGTATGTGAAGCTCCTGAGAGTAACACTGGACACTGTATCTCACCCTCTGCACCCTCAACTCTCATCTAGGTGCCTCCTCTGTGCTCCCCAAGCCCCGTTCCTTTTCTCTACCATAGACTCACCCCAGTGCACCCTGGTTGTCTCTTTCACATCAAACACATGCCGTGAGCTCTTTGCTGCAGGGATTGGCCTTTTCCATCACTGCATCCCTGCGGCCCAATGAGGACCTGGTGTGGGTTAGTGTCCAGTGAACACTGGTTCAGGGCGTTATCAAAGGACAACCATGCCAGAACTAGTCCAGATCACCATTTCTCACTGGAGCCCATAAATCCTTGGCATTCTGAGGCCATGGATTCAGCCTGAGATGCTCGCATGTAGATAATAATAAATAAATGGATAGATGAATCCTCGCATCTCCCCACAGTGCCTGGCATATAGCAGGCACTTTTCAAAAATGCTTGTTCAGTAAAATTCCTTATATGTCTGATACTGTTAAGACAAATGTCTATATTACAACTACTTGTTTTGACATATTTATTCACTTATTCATCAATATTTAGTGAGTGGTGACTCTGTAATCGACAGCAAGGACAGCAGAATAAGTAAGAGACACAGTGCCCCTGCCTTCTTGTTACTTATAGTTTAATAATAATAACCCTTCACTGAGCACTTACTATGTGCCTGGTGGTGTACTATGTGTGCATTAACAAACTCAATCCTCACAACAACTTTGGGAGCAGGAATTCCTATTATCCCCATGTTACAGCCGAGGAAACTGAGGCTCTGAACGGATAAGCAAGTTGCCCAGGGCCATAAGGTTAGTCAGTGATGGCACCAGAATTCAATCCCAAGCCGTCTGTACTCAGATCACTACTCAGCCTCAATTGGAAGGGAACAAATGGCAAACAAATAAGCAAATAAATAGACAAGATAATCCAAGACGGAGATAAGTAGGAAACCAGAAGGATGATGTCGTGAAATATAGGAGAATCCTGGGGCCAAAAACCAGGTGGCTTGAATATCTTCCCAGCCTAAGGAAGACAGTAAAATTCATCATGACTCATTCTACAAGCATTTAGGGAGCACCTGCCCTGTGCAGGCATTAGCCAGGCATTACTCTAGGCACCATGGATATGCGAGTAAGGAAAATGAGCAAAAATCATTGCCTCTTAGAGCTTATCATCTAGCAAGGGGAGAGAGATGTTTAACAACTAAATAATCAGATAAACAAATATAAACACATAGAAAAATGAACAAATAAATAGGTGTAAAGTGCTGTACCAAAAAAATGATGCATGGAAAGGGGACGAGGAAGGTCGGAGTTGGGGAAAAGAGTCTAATCAATGCTTACGTTGCTTCTTTTGACCTCTCAACACTTTTCTATATTATGATATATTTTCCCAACCACTCTACCCTATTCCACATATATTTAATTAAATTTACTGTGTGTCCGATGCTGCCACCTTCCCTTGACTGTCTCTTTCCCATAAGAGTTGTTGCTCCCCTTCCCCCAAGCATGTTATCAAGCTGTGACCCTTCTTCCCAGGCCAATAAAAGAGAAAGGGAAAGACATCTTTCCATTAAGCATTGACTCAGGAGATATTCAATGAGTGCCTAATAACTATACATAGTGTGGGTACCGCATTTATTGTTCATCAAATACTCTCACAGCCGTGATCCGCTATGGCTGACCAACAGTTCCTCAATGAAGGTAGAGTAGAAGCCATTCCATTCATTTTATTTATATTGTACCCGTTTTGAATAGAATTTGAGGACATTTATTTTTTAAATGGCCAATGGGATTATTATAAACATTTCATACATAAGGAAACACATTCGACAAAAATCTATGGGACTTACCTGATACCACACAATAAACAATAAAGCTGGACTCAAACCCAGGTCTTCTATCCCCAAACCCATATGACTTGCCATATACGGTCCCTTGCCAGGTCCCCTAGGTGTCCAATATGCAGTGATGAAATGGAGGTGCCTTTGCTCTCACTACACATAGACTTCAGTAAAAACTATAAGCCAAGGCTTCAACAGCTATGAAAGGACACAGGACAAATGTGATGTTTTGAGAGAGATGTATGGAAGTTCTGAGGAGCACAAGCTCGTAAGCAACTTTGGCTGGGAAAGTCCTACAAGAAAGGTTTGGTGGAGGACATGAACTACTTAAAGGGAGAGGCAAGAAAAGCATTCCAGGTTAAAGGAATATTAATTGGCCCAAATTTTAGAAAACACTGGGCATACACCAAAAATATCATCATGGCGCCCCCTCCTCTCTCCCTTAGTCCCATAAATTACTTAGCTTTCCCAAACTACTGTAAGCCAGAAATATCTCCAGGAATGCTCTTCTGCTTCTCTTTCACACCTGAGTTAGAGCAAGCTTCCAGGTAGAGAAAGGGGTATGGGAAGAAATGACCTTTCGTTGAGCATCTACTACTTGCCAGAAACTTTAGGGTGCTCTAAAAATGTTGTCCCGTTCAATCCCCATAACAGCCCTGCCAGGTAAATAATATTCCCCATTTTAGAAATGAAGAAACGGAAACTCAGAGACTAGTTGACCTGCCCCAAATCAAACAACTAACAGGCAGAGAAACTCTGATTTGAACCCAGGACAGTCAGAAGCCAAAGCCAGGTCTCTGTAGGTGACTCTATATTATCACCCAACCATACCTCAAGAAGCATCTGTTCTGTGCATGATTGGGAGGTTGTGAGCTAATAATTCAGTGCCTCGTGGAGAAGCAGCAAGTCGAGAAGATCTAGAAGTAGACTTAAGCACCTCAATCTCAGGGAAGGGAAAATGGGGAGTTTCTGTTTAATAACTATTAACGTTGCCGCTATGCAAGACATATATAAGTTCTTGAGATCGGCTGTCCTACCCTGTGCCTATAGCAAACCATATGGTAATGTACACTTAGAAATTTGTTAAGAGGGTGGATCTCATGTTGTGTTCTTACCACAATAAAGGAAACAAACTAAATCACAAAGACAATGTTACAAATAAAGAAAAATATACAACTGAATGTATCCAAGCATGAATTCTTCCATCTGTAATTCTTCCTACGAGATTTTTTGATGTGGTATAAACGTTTCTTTCATCACCACATTTTTCTAAATTCCATGAGGAAGGCTTCTAAGATATGGTGGGTCCTGTTTATGTTTGTGTCTATCAGATCACACAAAAGCAATTATGAGGAGTCCATCGATTCATAAACATGAATGTGGACATCTTTAAACATTTACGCAAACACATTGATTACTTACATTTGTAAGCCTGCGAGAAAGCACTGGGCCGATCTTTAGTGCAATGTTAGGGGAAAAAAATAAGGTTCTTTGCAAATACAGTAATCAGTCCATATTCACTGCTCATTAGACTCACTCTTGAAATCATCTTTGAAATCAGTTTGTTTGCAAAGATGATTCACATCTGCACCAACACGTGTGGTGGAGATGCAGTGCGTGTGTGGAGGGAAGTGTGCTTTGGGCTACAAATCCAGAGTGGCTGTCAGCATCTGCGGGCTGGGGATCTGCCCCACAGGAGCAAAACAGCAAAGGCAACCAACAGAAGCAGCAGGAAAATTCATTTCCAGCAGACCATCTCTGACTTTCACAAGGAATGAAGTATATGGTACTGTCACTAAAGGCTTTGCATATTATAGGATGTTGAATTGACATTGTGGCAAAAGATATTAAATAAGTTGTTTTCTCACCTTTTATCTCCGCCTTTACTTGGTTTAGATTCTGATGGTGGGACGCATTTAAAACTACAAAATTCCCAGAGAGTAATGAGTATGACAGTGTAGTTAAGGCTGATAGGGACATCCAGCATTTAAGTTCTTTTTTTTTTTTTCCCAGTACGCGGGCCTCTCACTGTTGTGGCCTCTCCCGTTGCAGAGCACAGGCTCTGGACGCGCAGGCTCAGGGGCCATGGCTCACAGGGCCAGCTGCTCCGTGACATGTGGGATCCTCCCGGACCGGGGCACGAACCCGTGTCCCCTGCATCAGCAGGAGGACTCTCAACCACTGCGCCACCAGGGAAGTCCCTCTTTTTTTTTTTAATTGAAGTATAGTTGATTTACAATGTTGTGTTAGTTTCTGGTGTACAGCAAAGTGATTCAGATATAGATAGATAGCTTAGATAGATAGATAGGTAGATAGATAGATAGGTAGATAGATAGATAGATGATAGATAGGGTATATATATTCTTTTTCAGATTCTTTTCCATTATGCTATTACAAGATATTGAATATAGTTCCTTCTCATATACAGTAGGACCTTGTTGTTTATCTCATGGCATTTAATTTCTATTTCAAAGTATCAAACGGGCACAAACAGTAGTTATCTGTTTGTTTACTGACGGCAACCTGAAGTTTCGAGAACTCACAAGACATCCCTGTGAGTGAGCAGACAGGAAAAATGGACAAATGAAATTCAGAATTGAGGGTTAGTTAGAATCAGTGGCAACGGGTGTTATCAGTTCACAAACTTCCTGAATTTGTCTTTTCCCAGCAAAACAGGAAAAGGATTTGTAACTTTTGTGTAACTCTCTTCCCATCTCATCCCACTCTCCTAAACCAGTTTAAAAAAGAGAGAAAAAATAATAATCTAATGACAATCCTAATCTTAAATGAAAAATTTATCCAGAAACAGGAATGGCAATGATAATACTCTTCTTCCACAGCTGATGTTTCTCAGTTGCTGAAGTAAATGATGTAAGGGGTGTGGGTGGGTGTGTGGGTGTGACAGAGAGAGAGAGAGAGAGAGAGAGAGAGAGAGGGAGAGAGAGAGAGAGAGAGAGAGAGAGAGAGAGAGAGAGAGAGAGAGAGAGAGAGAGA